GGCGACTACTCCACACCAGTTGATTCCAGACCAGAACCAGTATAGGCCTGTTTTTCTGCCGTCGTAGCACGACGGAACGTGGACGTTGCCCTTGCGCACAATGAAGTAATCGACAATCAAGACGGCGCATAGAGGAGCCATGAAGATGTTGTAAGATCCAAGGAAGCTGTTCAATCGTCAGTTTCATTTTCTTTTGCAGCAGACTAGCAATTTCTGTAGCGATCTTACCTAAGAAAAGCAGACGCATTAGCCATGAGTTGCCATGGCTGCACAACGACCCCAAGAAGAGCACACAGTATTTGTCCTCTGCGGATAGTGAGCCATTTGGGGAAAAGGCCAGTCATATCCGAACCAAAAGGAATGGAATTCGCTCCAAAGTTTGTTGCGAAAACTCCAAAGTAGAATGCCAACGAGGCGAAGAAGATTGCTGCGCGTGCACCAGCGCCAAAGTGATGGTCGAGAATAGCGTCAAAGAGATCCCAAATGTTCCAGTACGCTACGCCGTACGCTGATTGCATTGATGTTGTCGAAGCCATGCCGAGGAAAAAGACGATGATAGCAGAGACGAACACACTGACACCCTGGAGATAACCTGCGTCGCGGGGCTTCTTGCAGTAGCGGGCAAGATCGGGCTGATTCACAAGCATGGGCGACAGTGCACCGAAGATGGTGTTGATACCAGCCATGATACTCCAACCCATAGGAATAGAAGAGGAAGCTGTACTTGTCTTGTGGGCGAGATCCATAGAATTAAGTCCGCCGCCATTCGCCATGCACCAGCCGAAAACTGCAAAGGCTGCAACAGGCATGATGATTCCCTTGACGGTGAAAACGTAGTGGATCCGGGTCGGATGAACCCACATAAAAGGGAATTCCATCAGCCAAGCCATGAAGAAGGTCAGCAGCTGCCTCGATGTCACGGCGGCACCCGGCGAAAGCGTGTTCGGGAGGGTTTCCCAGGAACTGCCAAAGATGCAGCGTAGCATCACGGATAAGAGGTTGCCGGCATAAAAGGTCTGGATGCCGTACCAGATAATGCAGACAATGGCTCGGATGAAGATGAAGAAGTAGGAGCCATATATGCCCATAACAGAGCGTGCAAGGACGGGACTGCGCATGGTAAGCTAAAGTAGAAATGCATATGAGATTATTACTTACAATCCGATATGGTATTTAACGCCCGGACGAGCCATCAAAACGACAACTATAGCCGCGAGTAAAGAGCCGATGCATGCTGATGCGAAGGATGTCTGCCATGTCTACATACGCTATCAGTCTGCGTCCTATGAGTAGTCTTGCCGGATACCATACCAGGCCAACGGCTACAAGTGAAGAGCCAGTATTCCAGCCGACAAGGGAGAATTTGTTAGAAAACCAGTACAGAGGCAGACTGTACCAAGTCCAAGTCCTCTGTTCGACTGGTGTCGGCTCGAGATCTTTATTCGACCATCTCTCGTCTCCGATAGGAACATGACCATCATTGACTCGAGGAGCCCGGAGAAAGCCGACAAAAGCTTCTTTTGACTGGAAAGGTGCCGCCATCCGCCGCTTCGTTGGCATTTCGAATTTGCCCATGGTGGATTCAGTCGTAGTCTGAACAGACAAGCCTGACTATTCGCAAAAAGCAGTCCGCCCTCATCCTTACATCTATGGATCACAGCCGCTCATATGTCGAGCTGATTAACCTTGTTCCGACTCCAGATGGTTCACGCAGTCCAGACACACCAATGGTGAGTTAGAACTGGCCAGACCCCCTTGTCGTCGCCTCCATCGGCGCATTTTCAGCCGATGTAACATGTTGCCCCAGATGCGCGAGCTGCGTCCAAGCCTCCCAAGATGCGATAAAGGACAGGGGCTGAGATAGGAATACAGTGTAAACACGCGACGTCGTTGTGGTAGCGAACGTCAGCGTTACCGATCTGGTCAACAGTCTCCGTGACCAAGAGGAAGACTGCAGCCGAGATAAGATCACATGACGACTTATCTTGCCCACTCTGGAAGGAATCACGATAAGGCACACTTCGGCTTGTGTATGCCGTTTACCCTGAGCGATCTTCGCACGTGAAAGGCGTAATGCATCCGAAGTACGTAGTGCGAGGTTGGGGACGATGATTCCAGGGCTCTCGACTACTACACACTGTGGTAATTTCAACCCGAAAAGGTCATGTCGCAATCCTACGCAGAGAGCCTACTGAGCCCCTCTGGATCAGCCGACGATCAGATACCTGCATCCTCTACTACTGCTACTGAGGTCCCATCAAATGGTACAAGTGTAGGCGCGCAGCCCTCTGCAGCGAGGAAGCCTCGAGTCGCCTTGGCCTGCAAGAGATGCAAGCGAAGAAAGCAACGAGTACGTCATTTGAGGGTTTCACAACAGTACCTCTTGACTAAGCCTCTTGCAGTGCGACGGCGCGCGTCCAGTATGCAGGTCGTGCGAACGAGCTGGTGTAGCTTGTGCATACGAGAGAACCCTGCGGCCCCAATACCCTGGTGGCAAGTCGGCGTAGGTCCTTTTCCCAAATGCTTTCTTGAATATGTGCGTGTTGGGTATCTGACTAACTAGTCAGTTATATAACTGCCTTGGAAGAACGCATTGCGTTTTTGGAGGCTCGTCTTCCAGACCATGCTTCTGATCATTATGACAATGGCTCGGATATGGTGCATGTTATGCCTCCTACAACTACTGAGGAGCCATCGGTCCCCCAGTTCCAGTCAAATGAAGCACGTCGTGAATCACGAGACGATTATTTCTCGGATGAACTCGAAGGTGAAGATAGAACTTCACTTGTTGACGGCGTAGCCTACCTCTCTCTATGCGCTTCAGGAACTACCGATACGACCCCCGAACCCTACTATGTTGGTTCAAGCTCTGGCGCTACCATTGCTCGCATCATACAATCTTCAATCTTTCGGAGTTCTGGCAAGAGAGCAGCCGGCCAGCATGCTAACCAGACGACTCAAACTCCCACGGCTGCGAGACCACCTCCACCTCCTGAGTCTGCGCATTCGGATGACCATATCATCGATTTCCCCGAGCGACAGCAGGCACTAGTGCTTTTTGATGTTTTCTTCGAACGGATACATACACGTTGGCCATTACTAGACCGCGTGGTCTATACAAAACTCTTCGAGAAGCAGTATGTTCAAGGTGCTCTGTCTATCATTGAGCGCAGTATCTTTCATCTCATGTACGCCATTACAGCTCGCTTCCTGTCATTGACACAGAAGCCATGTGGGGTGGATTCTGATGTAAGTCAAACGAGTATAAGCAATGTATTATTCTTACCGGTTTTAGAGTCACCTTGCTGCCGCGACAGAACCAATGGATTACATATTAGCTCAGCACAACCTCGCAACTGTTCAATTTCTTATACTGCTTGGAGTACATGGACAGCGGTCTCCATACGGAGCAGGCGCCTGGTCTCAGATCCGATATGCGACGTCCGTCTGCATAGAGATGGGCTTGCACAGAAAGAGAAGTGTAGTGTACTCCCCTGAACAAGCGAGAGATGCTGAGATTCGACGTCGAGCGTTTTGGTCGTGTTACTGTCTCGACCGAGTGACTAGTATCGTGCTTGGCCGCGCATTTGCCATTGCTGATCGGGACATTAATGTCGAGGTATGCTAACAACTAAGCATTATAAGGAAACCTTGACTGACTTCTTCCTTAAGCTCCCCAGCACGAGCCCTGAATTCTGGACTCTAACACACCAAGAAGCCCCCGAAGCCCACAAAACCCAATGGTCCAACATCGAGCCCTTCATCCACATCATCAAGCTCGACCAAATCCAATCCCGAATCCACAAAACAGTCTTCCGCGTCGACCGCGACGTCTTCGCCGGAACCTTCGAACAGCGCGCCAAACTCGACCAAAAAATGACTTCCATCCGCAACGACCTCGACACCTGGCTCCGCACCTGCCCGCAAACCCCCAAAAAAGAAAACAAGATAACCTGGATGTACGACCCGGAAAGCGCTTACCTCGACGCCCGCGACTTCTACGGCGTCCAATACCACAAAGCAATGCTCTTCCTCTTCACCGTCTTCTTACCCACCCTCGATACGTCAGACACTCGCTTCATCACGTGTGCCCGCTCCGCTGCCTGCGCCTGCAATGCGTACAAGCGACTCAGCCAGAACAGAACGCTGACTTACACCATGATATCGCTGCACTCGTGCTTCGTAGCCGGTCTAACACTCGTATATTGCATCTGGCGCGACCGCACCTTGTTCTCCTACGACGTCCTCGAAGCGACTCGCGCATGCTCACAGATCTTGACTATCTTCGGTGAGAAGTGGCCCGGCGCAGTCAAGTATCGTGATATTTTCGATGCGTTATCGGGTAGTCTTTTTAAGACTGTTGTTAATGCTACGAATGCGCTCAGAACGAACGGCGCGAGACCACTGCAGCTGGATGTTGATGCGGAGCCGAGCTTGCAGGGGCTGGGGCAACAACGGAAGGGGTATGAGGAGGTGGCAGAAGGGAGGAGGGGGAGTAAACAGACACTCTCACACATGGTTACCGATGCGGTTAAAGAGGCGTTTATGGAGGTTGATGAGGAGGCGCCGGGGGGTTGGCAGGGTTGGAGGATGTGGAATGAGATGGTGAGGGATGAGGAGGCGCAGATGCAGAATGTGGAGGTGAGTTGGACGGCGGAAGAGGGCCCTGGGTTTTATGGCGTGGATCCCATTCAGGATGCTGCGATGCAGACGGATGGGGAGGGGATGGTGGATATGAATCAGTGGAATTTTGGGGGGTATAGGTGAATGGAGGATGGAGTTGTTAGGTATCTGGCTACAGGTGTCACTTGTGGACTTTCAGATCCGGAATGTATAGTAGGAGATAAACATCTCAACAGGGACGACCATCGATAATATTGCTATATTCATGTCTACAGTTCACAACTAAGTGAATATATATATATATGTAGTTATATATATACCTCCCATATAATCTCAATAATGAACACAAAAATACTTTATTCAAATACCACAAACACCTATGCAAGCTCCCCCTTCTTATAGGGAAACTGCTCCCTAAACGCCTCCGCAATCTGCGTCCGCGTAGCAACCCAAACCCCCTCCTTCTCCGAAATATACTTTACAAAATCCTGCAACGCCTTAAACCGTCCCGGCCTTCCGATGATCCTGCAATGCAGCCCAATCGTCATCATCTTTGGTTTGCCCGCCGCACCCTCTTCATACAAAACATCGAACGCGTTCTGGAGGTGCTCGTAAAAGGCACCTGGGCTGCGGAATCCCGTGCCCTGGGTGTGGAATTTGAAGTCGTTGCAATCGTAGCTGTAAGGAACCATGAGACAGCCCTTTGGATTGGGGCTGTTGCGTTCGTGCGGGAGATCGGTCCAGTAAGGGAGATCGTCGGCGTAAGTATCGCTGGCCCAGAGGAGTTCCTCGCCCATTTCTTCGTAAACAAGGGGGATCAAAGCGCGGCTTTGGGGGGAAGGCCGGCCGTAGTACCAGCCTTTGGGGGCGTAGCCCGCGAGTTTCTTCAGCGCGGTGATGCCGTCTCTAATGTGCTGCTTTTCGGCTTCGACGGAGAGGTTGGAGTGGTCGATCCAGCGGTAGGCGTGCGATGCGATGTCGTGGCCTTCTTCGACAGAGCGCGTGACGGCTTCTGGCTGCTCTTCGACGGCGGAGCCGACGGCGTAGAGGGTGAATTTCATGTTGTAGTCGTTGAAGAGCTTGAACATGCGCCACCAGCCGCTGCGTGAGCCATATTCGAATTCAGATTCGCCGCTGTAGTCGCGCTCGTTGATCCTTGGTTGTGCGGGATATTCGCGGAGGTTGATTTCAGACATGCCGTCTCCTTTCATCACTGAACGCTCGCCACCCTGATTAATCAGTTAGCGTGTGTAAAGTGGCAGTAGCAGGGTTTCTGGATTTACCTCTTCATAGTTGATGACAAAAGACACGGCTATCTTCGCGTCGTTTGGCCATTTTAACCCCTCAAGTCCTTTTTCACCATATCCTTTGAAATTCCGAGGAAAGGCGTATTCTTGTGGTGCAGCGTAAACTTCAGGCATGATGATGGTTGTTACAATGGTACTACAGAGGTATCTTGAAAGCAGACAGGAGAGTATCCAAATATTGATTCACACGATCCTTTTTCAGATTCCCCACAGTGAGTCTAAGTACTTGATAGCAGCCAGCAACCCCTCATTTTTCGTATCGCATACTAGCTGGAACATCGGCTGTTCTCACCCGTGAAGTTGTTACGCAACATATCGCATGCTATACCCTGCTGTCGTTCACGATGATCGTCCAGCGTACGACCGCGATCTGGGTCGGCCGTGACGTTATCATGTTATCGTAGGAGGATGTAAAGTTATCGGCTTGGAAAGATCCGCAAGTAGAAAGTTGCCCCGAAAGGGAGGTGTTGCGACGGCTGGGGCACACCAATCTGGGGTTGCTGATAAGACATGGATTTTTGTGGGGCCACACTGCAACCTACCGAACTCGGAACTCTGGAAATCCTACAAGAAACAGTTCGTTGTATTACTAAGGAAAACTTGTCTTCTATATGCCCGGTATCAATCCTCTGTGTACCCTAGTGGATGGTCTCGATGCGAAGTCCTATCGTCTCCGAACCATTTTACGTTGACAGTAACAGCCGCCAAGTAAATACCGGGGTTCTTGCACTCAGTTTCATTTAAGACATTAAGGAGTTGTAATGTAAAAAAATATCCTCATGTCAAGTCATGTGTGCGGGGGTTCTCACTTTGGTTTTGGAGGCAGTCCGTGTTAAGATTACTCGAGGACGATCGCCAAACTTCAAGCAATGAAGTCATCAGGTTCTATACATGATGTATTCCAATATTTCTACTAAAACAATAGGTCGTTCATACATTTCTTATCGGGAAAGACCTTGCTGGCCTTCATGAAGCGCTTTTGTTCTTTGTGTCTCTGCCTATATTTGCTTCCTTCTCATTGGATGCATTCCCTTCGCTCTCAACTTCTTCACCATGGATGGCTGTCTGCTCAAGCGCATCTCCATTTACGCTTGTTGCCACCGCTTCTTCCTCTTCCATCTTCTTCGGTGCTTTCAAACTCGTGTTCCCAACCCAAAAGGTCAGTGATAAGCTCACGCCTGAGCACACTGTAAAGAAGATGAAGATGTAATGCAGACCCAGCATGTAGACGTTGAAAACGACATCTTGTTGGGTTTTTGTGAGGCCAAAACCATCGAGGTTATAAGTGGAGGAAGTTAACTGACTCATCAGACTTTCTGACACGAAGCCACTTTGCGACAAGTGATGACTGAGCGTGTTCGACAGGATGACTCCAGAAATGACAAGACCGAACGCTCCACCAATAGTGCGAATAAAGTTGCGCAGCCCTGTTGTAACAGCACGATCTTCGCTACGACCGTTTGCGTACATACCAACGAGCGTGGGCTGAAGCACTAAGCCAATGCCCGCACCTTCCAGAATGAGCGCGACAATGAGCACTGCCAGGCTGGTGTTCCGATCAAAAAGTAGCGTGAGCCCATTCCCAAGAGTCCAAAGCGTAAATCCAACGAGGACGCAATGCATGTAACTGCCGACTCGGTTCATGTACTGGCCAGACGCGATGGATGTCAGAGAAGTGGTGATGACTACTGGTAGAATTAAGGCACCAGATACTAAAGGTGAGTACCGTAGGACTGATTGGAAGTAAATTGGGAGGTAGAAGAAATTTCCAAAATACGCGAGCCCGATGAGGAAGGTTTGCAAATAGAGTGCCCAAGCATGAGGGGCGCGATAGAGGCGAAGTGGCATGATTGGGAGAGCCACAAACCTCCATTCGTAGAGGACAAACAGAATTGCCAACACAGCGCCGATCACAGTGCAGGCAATGAAAAATGGAGAGGCCCAGGCGTAAGTAACACCACCTCCGGACAAGGGTACCAATAAGAGGAGCGTCGATGCGATGTTTAGCACCATGCCACCATAATCGATTTTCCTGATCTTTTTGAGATAGCCGCCGGATCGATGCTTCAAAGGCAAGAAGAACAAGATGATCAAAGATGTGGGTATTGTCAAGATGGGTATGATCCAGAACACCCATCTCCATGTGGCTCCTTCGACTATAGCACCACCGAGGAACGGACCAGCGCCATTTCCCAGAGCGATAACTGCACCCAGCCAACCTGAAAATGGATTTAGTAGGTCACGATGGCTGCAAGTTGGCATAAAATCCTACCTTGATACTTGCCACGATTCTGTAAGGTGGTAATGTCACTAACGATGATCATAACCAAACTATTAATGCCACCACCGCCAATGCCCGCAATGGCACGGAGTACAAAAAGCTGTACAGCCGTTTTTGCGAAACCGCAGCCGAGATCTCCCAAAGCCATGAGCATGAGGCTAACGAGAAGTAGGTTTTTCCGACCGAATATATCCGAAAGCCGACCGTTGATGAGTTGGAAGGCTGTTGAGGCTATCAGAAACGATGTGCCAATCCATGAGGTTACAGTTCCAGTATTTAGATCAACAGCTATTGCAGGCGTTGCGGTTGAAACACTAGTTTGGTCGATGAAGGAGACAAATAGACAGACCGACAATGCTGGAATTGCGATCCTGAGTTGAGTAGAGGTCATGGTATTCCGCTGACCTCCAATGGATGCCGCATCGCTTTCATCGTCAGAGTCTTGTTTGGCCATTGGTGCGAGTGGTGTGTTGCCATGGTTGGAGACAGGCATTCCCGTGGAATATGGATCGTCTTGATTGGCTCTGTTCTCGTCTGGCGCATTAGGAATTCGAGCGTCTTCGTTTTTGGTGGGGTATGTCGAGTTCATCTGATCAGTGGCAGCCTGTTCGCTCATCATCATATATATGTTTGCTCTAGGCTTGTTGCGCGTTGGGTAAACATGTCAAGTTATGGAGGAAGTCTACGTGAATAGCTGACGCTGAGTACAGACATGATGGCTAGCGTGCATATTGACAGCAACGTAGGCATCGGAAGCCTCCCGAGCGGGGCGGCCCTTTTCCTTAACAGAGTATGCTCGGTACTACGTTTCATTCGGAAAAACGTCGGTAATCGAATCTGATACAGCCGAAGAAACTGCAGCTGGAAGGATCTGTTACATGCTTGGATTCCGTAAGTGTATGGTGGAGACGACTGTGATCGATGCGAGTGAGAGTGGGGTAATGATAGCGTGGCTTCGACCACGCTTTCGGCACATTTTGAGCCGATGTGTGCTAGACCCACATGGCAATGTTTGTCGTCATCGTGGATCCAACGCTCCAGAAGCACATCTTAACTCGATAGGGGTTACGCCGAGTTTTCGGCATCACGAGCGGATTTGTAACATGCCAGAAATGAGTTTGGGCGTTGTCTGCCGAGAACAACCCCAGCGATTTGGAGGAGTGTAAAGTTTTTCTCAAGAACGGGCCAGAAAATGTTTGGCTGGCCATGGTCCCAGGCGCGCTTGTCTGATAGCAGCAGAGGGATATAATGGAGCGATTCGCTCGCAGTAAATGAGGGCACTTGATCAATTTGTAGCTGTGCCAGTGTCAAAAACCAACATGTCGCGCCTTTTCCAACCGTTGACGGTAGGGTCCGCCAGGCTAGACCATCGTATAGCCATGGCGCCATTGACTCGCTACCGTATGGACGACGAGCACAAAGCATCATCGCTCAACAAAGGTAGGGGATATACCGCTGCTGCTCTTTATGAAGACAAGTTGTTGACAATATGTCATAGAGTACTATGAGCAAAGAGCATGTGTGCCAGGTACTCTTATAATCAGCGAAGCCGTCATTATCTCGAAAAATGCTATCAGTAGTCGCAACGCACCAGGCATCTGGTCGGAGGATCAGGTTACCGCCTGGAAAGATATCACGAGCGCAGTACACGCCAAGGGATGCACAATATATTGTCAGCTTTGGCACCAAGGCCGGACCGCCAATCCAGACGTTATCAAGGAAAACGGCTTGAGGATGATTTCTTCAAGCGCCGTTCCAATCAGTCCGGAACATGAAACACCAGAGGAAATGACAGAAGAGATGATCTGGGGAACAATAGGGGAATACTCGACAGCAGCAAAGAATGCCATTGCTGCCGGTTTCGATGGCGTTGAGATACACGGTGCGAACGGCTATCTGCCAGATCAGTTCCTGCAATCGACATGTAACCAGCGAACGGACGGGTGGGGAGGGAGTATCGAAAAGCGATCGCGATTTCTTTTAGAGGTAACGAAGGCGGTGGCGGCTGCAGTTGGTGCTGAGAAAACCGCAGTGCGTCTGAGCCCATACAGCGACTTCAATGCTATGTTGATGGACGAGCCGGAGCCAACGTTCAGTCATGTGCTGGAAGAGTTGAAACCTTTTGGCCTCGCATACCTCCATCTCATTGAAGCTCGCATTACGGGTAACGACGACTCTGAATGCGGGGGACAAAAGACTGTAAGCTGGATGATTGAACAGTGGAACAACGCGACGCCTGTGGTGCTTGCAGGAGGATTCCTTCCAGACTCAGCGAAGCACGCGGTAGACGAGACGTACAAAGGATACGATGTGATTATTGCGTTTGGACGATACTTTGTGGCCAACCCGGACCTCGTGTTCCGGGTCAAGGAGAGCGTGCCACTGACAAAATACGACCGCAGTGTCTTTTACACGCCAAAGACACCCGTCGGCTACGTCGACTACCCACACAGTCAGCAGTATCTCCAGGCTACGGCCAAGGTGTAAATAGTTAATTTATAATATATTGAAGTTGAAATCTGACGTTTTCCATGAAGAAAAGCTGAAGGTGAACATAAGGTCGAGATGATGCTGACTGTGACAAGGATGATAGTGGCAGGAATGCAGCCTAGCTACCCCGCCAAAGTTAGTGCAGCCTCCCTGCATCAGCTCCCCCTCGCCCATCGGCCCGTCAATCGACAACAACGTGTGTATGTACAGCTTCATACACACTCAACTGCAGAGCCATCATCTCAATTCCCCGTCACATCCTAAAGCATCCAGTCACAGTCGCCATGTCGACCACCATAGAGGCTGAGACGCTTAAGCAGCACCTGGCCGACAACCCGCCTGCCATTGTGCCCTTGGCCATCAAGCCCCACTTTGAGGCATTGAGCGACAAGGAGAAGCTCTATGCCCACCATCTCTCCATGTAATATACACCCCAGAATACGAATTCATTGCTTCGTGGCTAACCAACTGGCGCCTATCACAGCGCCTGCTTCGCCGGATCGCGCGTCGTCCTTCGCCAAGTCTCGCCCGAATCGGAGTACATCTACGACTTCATTGTTGCCCTGCATAAACACACAAAGGGCGACTATGCTGCTGTTGCCAAGGAATCCGGCCTCTCGCAAGAGGACATCGATGCATACCTCAACTACGCGGCCCAGTTCCTCGGCAACATGGGCAACTACAGGTCCTTTGGTGACTCCAAGTTTGTGCCCCGACTCCCGCCCCGCCAGCTCAAGGCCCTCGCCACCGTCTCCAAAGATACGCTAGCCCTATACGAAAAGATCAAAGACTCGATATACGCAGGCGATGATGTCGGAAAGCTGCACCTGGGCTATCCGGGTGCAGGGCACATCTCAGCATACTACCCTGACAGTCCCAACATCACAAACGAGGAGATATCCAAAGTCAGTGACTTCCTCGAGGGCAAGGGCCTTCTCCCAGAAAATACCAGAGTCAGGAAGACGGACAATGGCTATCAAGTCCTCATTGCTTCGGCGCTCGATAACCCCCCGGCAGAGCAGCGCGATTTGAAGGAAAGCGAATGGACAATGGACGATGGAACAAAGGTCGCGCTCGTCTTTGGAGACTATTCAAAGGAGATGGACACCATTGCCCATCACATTGAGGAGGCCAAGAAGTATGCGGCCAACGAACACCAGATCGAGATGATGGAACAGTATTCCAAGAGCTTCCGTACTGGCTCACTGCAGGCTTTCAAAAAGAGCCAGATGGCGTGGGTACAAGATAAAGGACCCCAGGTCGAATCAGATATTGGCTTCATAGAAACCTATCGCGACCCTCACGGTATCCGTGGCGAATGGGAAGGTTTCGTCGCCATGGTCAACAAGGAACGGACACGTGCATTTGGAAAGCTGGTAGAGAGTGCGCCACAGTACATCCCACTTCTGCCATGGGACAAGTCATTCGAGAAGGACAAGTTCTTGAGCCCAGACTTTACCTCGCTCGAGGTCCTGACATTTGCTGGCAGCGGGTAAGTGATCGACTCTCCTAGCATTGATACTGCATTTGCTAACACCAACAGTATTCCTGCCGGTATCAACATCCCCAACTACGATGACATTCGGCAAAACTTTGGCTTCAAGAACGTGTCATTGGGAAATATCCTCTCAGCGAAAGCACCAAACGAGCCCATTCCCTTTATCAAGGAACGTGATCTAGAAACGTATCAAAAATACCGGGATCCAGCTTTCGAGGTCCAGGTCGGACTCCATGAGCTGCTCGGCCATGGTTGTGGCAAACTGCTTCAGGAGACGGAGCCTGGCGTCTTCAACTTTGACAAGGCGAACCCACCCATATCGCCTCTTAGTGGCCAGCCAATCAAAACTTGGTACAAACCTGGCCAGACATGGGGCTCAACTTTTGGTTCCATGGCTGCGTCGTATGAGGAATGTCGCGCTGAGTGCGTCGCCATGGCGTTATCTTGCGAGTTCCCCATACTGCAGCTATTCGGATTCGGCGATGGCAAAGTGGACATGAACAGCCCGGCTGGTGATGTCCTGTACATAGCATATCTCCAGATGGCACGTGCCGGTATCGCTGCCCTGGAGTTCTGGGATCCTAAGAGTAGAAAGTGGGGACAGGCACACATGCAAGCCCGCTTCTCGATCCTGCGAACCTTCCTCAACGCGGGTGTTGAATTCTGCCAACTTGAATGGGAGAAAGAGGACCTTTCAGACCTTACGATTCGCCTTGAGCGGGATCGCATTCTTGATCTTGGCCGACCAGCCGTGGACGACTACCTTCAGAAGCTGCATATTTATAAGGCTACCGCAGACGTGGCTGCTGCGAAGCGCATGTATGATGAAATCACAAGCGTAGAGCCTTTCTACGAGAACATGGTTAGACCAGCTGTGTTGAGAAAGAAGACGCCACGCAAGGTATTCGTGCAAGCCAACACGGTCGAGAAAGACGGCAAGGTAGAACTTGTCGAGTATGAGGCAACTACCAAAGGCATGATCCAGAGTTATGCCGACAGGGAATATGTCTAAGTATGAGGGTAGCTAAGGACGATTTTGTACGAATCATAGCATGCTCAGCCCACTCTTGTCACAAATATGAAGGGCTGCGCACATGAACAAATGAATGATACAAATGCACAAAAGAAATGCAACCAAATGTTATACTGTGTTCGCCGTTTGTGGGAGCACAAACCTCAGATGTAACTCTTTTTTGTGGATGGTGGATCGAGACTAATACTCAACGCAGCCTGGATTCATCTCAACGGTGGACACACATTGACTGGCAGAACAGTGCCAAGAGACGCTTGTATCTGTTTAGAGCAGGTACCTGGAAAGCGGCACTTGGCGGCCTCTTGGCTCGAGAAAGTGTGGAGGCGGAGGATACTAGCCTGGGGTCCCACATGGTAGTCACGCCCACCTCATGTACCCTAGTCTATGCAATTGCCAGATCCCGCAGTATTCTTCCACCGCTTAAGAACGACCTTGTTACGAAACCTCGTCAACTGACCATATCCCTTTCCAAGACAGACAGAAGAGGGGGGAGATATACCGACAGCAACGTTTGTTTAACCAGACATCTCCGTTCACAAGACAATAATCGTCTTCGATAGAAGCCTAAACGATATACGTACCAAAGCTTCTTTTTTCGCTCACACCACTAGAAAAGGCGGCTCGGAGATGCAACCCTGAAGCGACCAAAGCCAAGAGCACTTGTGTAAATCTTGGTGGACATCCACAATCCCATAGTTATGTGTTTCACCTATCCATACTGCGTTAGTGTGCCGACCCTACTGTAGAGTACTCTTATCGCTGCAGGTTATTGATTTCTCCGTCATGCTCATGGAAAAACTTGTACTGATTCGTGAAGCATTCTAGTTTCTACGCATATTCGAAATTGCAAACGAAATGGCTTCGGAACAATTCCCGACAGGCGCTCCACCGAGGCAGTGTTGGACTTACATGGAAATGAATAAAGAGCCTAGTGTCTCTGATGATGCCCTTTTATTTCCCACAAGCAACCAGCTCCATTCTCCCTTTCTCTTGTGATCTTCAAAGAAGCCTCTTTCTGAAGGCTCAGTTTCATCATGAAGTTGTCAATTCTTGCTCTTGCGACTGCCTATACCGCCAATGCTGCAGTCGTTGGCGAAAGACAGGCATACGGCGTGAAGGGCTCTCCTGAAGGTTTTGGCAAAGGCACTACAGGAGGTGGCAACGCAGCATGCCAGATCCCTTCTTCCGTCGCCCAGTTGAAGACGTGGCTCACCGATAGCACTGCCCGTTGCATTGTGCTGGACCGCGAGTTCAACTTCAAGGGCACCGAGGGCACTACTACTGCCACTGGTTGCCGTCCCGCATCCAACAAATGTCCAGGCAATGGAGGCCAGGATGCCATCAACCAAGCTAACTGGTGTACTAATGGTAATGCTGGTGCTGGAGCAACGAGTATTCAAGTCAAATACGACAATGCTGGAATCAATGCTATCAATCTAGGCTCCAACAAGTCCATCATCGGTGTCGGCAACAAAGGTGTGATTCGTGGCAAGGGTCTCCGCATTGCAAACGGAGCAAAGAACATCATCATCCAAAACATTCACATTACTGAGCTCAACCCCCAATACATCTGGGGTGGCGATGCCATCACCCTCGATGGCGCTGACCTAGTATGGGTCGGTACGTATCTCACCCCTTCACCTCCATCTTTGTCTCCTTCCCCATATCTAACTCCTCCCCACCAGACCACTGCAAAGTTTCCCTCATCGGCCGTCAAATGTTCGTAGCCGGCTACGGCGCCTCCAACCGCGTCACAGTCTCCAACACGGAGTTTGACGGCTCGACCTCGTGGTCCGCGACCTGCAACGGCCGCCACTACTGGACCATGCTGCTCATCGGGTCCAACGACCTCATCACCCTCAAGGGCAACTACATCCACCACACTTCCGGCCGCAGCCCGAAAGTCGGTGGTAACACACTACTACACGCTGTGAACAACTACTTTTACAGCAACACGGGCCACGCCTTTGACAACGAAAAGGGCGGTAAGATTGTTGCGGAGGGCAACGTGTTCCAGAATGTTGCGACTCCCCTGCTGGCGAACACGGGCCAGTTCTTTGCGTCGCCGTCGACGAGCGCGAATGCGGCTTGCAGTCAGTACCTGGGCCATGCGTGCCAGCTTAACTCTTTTGGAAGCAGTGGCTCGCTGAGTGGAAGTGACACATCGTTCTTCTCCAACTTTGGAGGTAAGAATGTTGCGGGTGCTTCGGCGGCGAGTGCGAATGTGGCGAACACGGCTGGTGTTGGTAAGATCTAGAGGAGTTGGCCCTTGATGAAGATTGAGGTGGTATGAGCAGGTTGGTTGTTCGAAGTCTGGTTTATCTTCTCCTGTATCTACTTTACTCCGTGATTGTGCTTTGAATTACAGCTTGCTTAACAAGCTTCTCAGTACCATCACTACCCGTATATATGCAAATATCCACCGTCATCATTAAACCCAGCACCACCCCTCACTCCACCCCAAACACCTTCTTAAAAACCTCAAGATTCCTCCTCCCCGCCACGCCCGCTGCATAAATCGCAAAGCCCACAACCTCAAACCACCCCTCAAACTCCTCTCTCCCAAGCACCTCCTTCATCTCCCTCGCCACAGCCCTTGGCGGACACCCATACGCCCCACACCCGATCGCCCCAAGCACCAACCTCGTCACGCCCTCCCCCGCCGCCATCCTCAGCACAAGCACAATCTTCTCCCTCAAATCCCGCAATTCGGCTTCATCCGCAAACGCACCCCCATCCTCTGACACCCGCGGGAATCTCGGCGCCGCAACCGTCAAAACTACAACGCTGAACCGCTCCTCCTCTTTCAACTCCACCAGGTCGTGATCCAGCGTATCCCGATACACGACTACGCCCGGTGACACGATACCCGCGCAGGACCCCGGGCCAGTGTTGGGCCAAGGATACCATTCAGGGCGCAACGTGGCATACAGTGTGGATGAATAGCATAGTGCTTCTTCCTGTGTGCGGGAGAGCGTGTAGCGCCATCCACCCCCCGGTTGCTGGTCTGAGGCTAAGTTCAAGACGCCGAGTTTCGGGGCGGAGGAACATGGGGGAGTGGTTTGGAAAAGCCGAGCTAGCGCGAAGGCGTCGCTGTTGAGAATTTGTATGGGTGCCAGAGTGTGGTGCGGGTAGGAAGGAGAGGATTTTTGGAGCGGGGGCAGTTGGGAGGGGATAAAGGTGCTGGTGAGAGTGCCGGTGGGGATGGAGGAGGCGAGGGTGGCGGAGCGCGAGATTGTTTCTTCGCAGATTTTGCGGCGGGAGGCGAGGTCTAGCATTTTGGGGGGTTGTGGGGGATAGGGAAGGTCACGTTGGGTGTAGGTAGGTAGTTTGGAGGTTGCCTATTTTTGCCAAGACTACCACGCTTTGTGGAGTTGGGTTGTTGTGGTTACGTGTTAAGTTTAAGTGCTGAGCACTGCTTTCTGAGTGAAATTTCTAGATGGCAGCGAGTTTGATGTGCAGGCGCACGGTGATGTTAATGGTGGTGATGGTGGTTCGAGATTGGTGTATAAGTGGGGCGCGCATGTTCGTCAGGACGTATCGAGACACCCCTGCTTGAAGAGACGCTTCAGCTTCTGCTTTGCATAACGACACTTTCTATAGATTTCAAAAACAGATATCCTAGGAATCGAAAGGTACAACTTTGAAATCCCTTACAAACTCAAAATCCTCTAAGAATATTTTGTCCTTAACGTGCAATACGAGAGTGTAGTATGACAGCCACCCGATCGCCTGCCTTCGGTCTGCCTCAAGTGCGCAGAATGATCATACTCCTTGCTTAAATTCCGTCAGCTTATATTGTGTAACTATGGATAACCTACCACGAGAATTTCTTTTGTATCCAACGTGCCAGCGTGTGCGTGTTTTCATTCAAACCCTGTCAGTTACAATGCATGATATGGAGAGCATTAAGCCTTACCATGAAAGTAGGTTATTCGTACTGTATTGCTGCTGATACTAACCCTAGGTTTAGAAAAAATCAAATAGTGAATTATACCTGAGTAGTGAGGATACAAGTGAACCATGTCACTCCTTCCTTTGTGAGAAGGCGCTGCCGGTGCGGCGGTGTTTTCCCACTGTAGCTTAGCGTGAATAGAAGACAGGCAGTATCTCCCTGAAACCTCCACGATCAATCTTACAATACAATTTTCACGCCCTTTTAACGATGCAATATAGACTACAGTCTTCCTGAGGCTATGTATTCCAGAGGCAAGGTCAGGGATAGGGCGGACCGGTCATCTCCCCATTTGCATGTATAAGCCGTTCATGCACGCCACTTAGGCAGCACATACGTGGCAAACCGAACATCAACAAGCAGGTCGAATAGAATGAAAGAACCAGGCTGAGATTTGCATAAGGTTCTAGAATGGCACTCTTCGTGATTGGATCGGACTTTGGCGCTTTCATCCGATAGGATATGCTGTACAACACTACCGACACCGTCGAATCAACGAGACAGCCGCCATTTTTCATCCATTTTCACTCCTACGCTGCAGACAGACTGCTATATCGCCTCTTCAATTACCCTTATACAGCATTGAACCGATGCAGTTGTTGGATACATCTGAAATGTCATCTTCAGAAAAGCGACAGCGATTTGTAGCCGCACCGCCTGAGGAATACCCGGACATCGAAGGTACACCCAAATCACGTTCAGAAGTAGCGCATCGAGAAGAGGCTATTCTATGTTCCAGGTGTCCAAATATTGATGTTGAACATATTTTTATCAAACTAAAAGTCAGAAAACCAAGTATTCCGCGCTCAGCTATATATGGTGTACGAATGGGTTCGGCAATAATGATTGGTCTATCCATAATAAGCTTCCCACAACCTTGCCGCAGACTATCGAAGATGCTTTGAAAGTCACGAAAGAGCTGGGTCTTCGGTACATTTGGATCGACAGGTATTGTATCAACCAAGACGATGGCGCTGAGAAACAGATCCAAATTCGGCAGATGGATCTCATGTATGAAAATGCGTTCATAACTATAACTGCTGCAGCTGGTACCGATCCATATTTCGGCTTACCTGGAGTCGGCACATCGAGAAATGTCCAACAAACAGCTTGGATCAAAGGAACGTGCCTTGTATCAATTCTTCCGGATCCAAGGAATGTCATCAGAACCTCTAAATGAAATCAGCGTGCATGGACTTACCAAGACAGCTTTTTCTCAACTCGACGTCTGATCTTCACGATGCAGCAGGTCTACTATAAGTGTCAAGGTGCTGTTGCGCGTAAAACAGTCGATAGGCTTAAAAAACATGTTTCTTATGTTCAATGCACCCGGCATATTTGAAAATCACGCCTGGAGAATGTTTGATCATTTGAGCAAATACAGTAGAAGAGAACTCTCTGTTGAAGCTGACGATATACGCGCTTTTGAAGGGATATTCAACAACTTCAAGAAGATGCAATTTCCCATACATCATTTTCTGGGTATTCCGATCATGCAAGCAGTAATTCAAGGATCAGACCTGGAACTAGTACCAGCACGACATAGTAGGAGTGAGGCCTTCGCTGCTGGGCTTTCCTGGAAAAACACTGCACCGGGAACTAGGCGCACCCAATTTCCTACATAGAGCTGGGCGGGATGGACTGCTGAAATTGTGTACAACAATTCATTATGTCGAACAGGGCTTAAACTCGAAAATGAAAGTCGATTGAAGGTTTTCGTAGAGAACCATGATGGATCACTTTCGGATATGGATGAGTACGACGACGCGTCGCTGGAGCAGGAACTAAGGAATTCTTCTGGAAAATTTGTTCACATCGAAGCTTGGACAATACCTATCACAATCCAATATATGCCTGAGAGGGCAGGTGACTGCATTGCCAATTTTTTATCTAGAGAAGAATAGCCACGCAACCTCTCTGGGTATTTCGCTGTATTTCAGGACGATGAACAAATTCTCCATATTCCTTTGTTTTCATTGTACCAAGCCTACGAGAGGGGCAACGATACACAGCAGGACTTCGCGCCAGACCTCGACCGGGGCAATTTGTTAGGGATAGTCTTAGGCAGATGTGAAGACTTTTCCGATATCGAGACCTGGGAAGGCATCGATGTCTTGATTGTACATGATAAAGGGAAGCATTTCGAACATGTTGAGTCTATGGAAGTTCACTGTCGAATGCTGACATCGATTCCTTACTATGACTTCAGGCGCTCTGATAAAATGCCGTGGGAGATTTTTTTTCGACTAAAGGAGCGGAGAACAATCCGGCTTGGTTGACATCATCATAATAGGTGGTATTTAGTAGTGTTGGAGGGTAGATATTCAAGTAGTAGACCTCAAACGCAAAGGCGTTTGCACGCTCCGGGTAGTCGTTTAGGCCTTAAAAATGTTAAATTCTAGAATACTCTCAATCGGCTAAAATTTGAGGTCTTGTATAAATAATCTCGTAAACTTAAGGGTTTGCAGTTATTATAGGAGTGTCGTGAGCGTCTCGTTACCCGGGATGTCTCGCTACGCAGGGACGGACTTTGCACACAGCAAGGATCTCGAAACGCGGGAGCACAACCGGATACGAAGACTTACCAAAAGTGCGAACGTGCACAGTTATCGACCAAGAACCAGAAGCTAGTCCCTCGATTCTCTACCAATGGCGCAAATGCATCCAGTGCTGTCATGCTGTTCGGAGAATATCGATGCAGGTTTGCCTACCCAAAGGCCTGGATTCTTATATCCGCGACCCTCCGTCTCCTGATGATCCTCACCCAGAAGATGAATACACGCAACGAATCGATCAATGCGCGCATGTTCGTCGGGATTATTGGCATTACCATCCGCGGAGAGGCGGATGCGTGCCCGGCTGATGAGCGGGCCATTGCGTATTACGTCAATCGAGTTGTTCGTGTGACCGAAGATCAGCGATTCCTCGTATGTCTAATCACGATGTTGCGATCACACTCGATTTGTCTATCGTCTTAGGAAATGGAGGTTCATTGTGATATACCTATAGAAACCAGGTTGAGCCCCACTCATGCAGTGTGATATTGCGTCGGGATGAATATCTGAAAAGGGTCCAGTATGGTGTTGAACTATACGCCGCTGTTGAGAGCACATATGTACTGAAGTGGTTAGGTAAGACCGTGGTACCTTGCATGACTTCCCCGCTTATAGAAATCTCGCGTTGGAAGCGAGAAAGCGGGTGGTAAGCTTTGTGGAGCTGGAAACATGGGGACAGGGGGACGAGCATTCGCATACAGGTGTGGCGTCGGCTCCAATAGTTTTATACAAGAGAGTTCGGTAGTCGCTCTCGTTTGTTTCAGCACCGCGGAGATATGACTCCGTGGCTGTACCAAACAACTAGAAACTTTGGCTGGTTCCCTGGTCTGAAGTATTTTGGTATATCATACTGCTCAGCTTATATCATATACTTGCGATACGGACTGAAGTAAGACTTACAGAATATTATGCAGCGACTCAATGATATACTTGTAATACTATGGCTGTGCATATAGATCTGTTGAGTTTTCGCATATTGCTTTTGGTAAGTGGCGTTACTAGTATTTTCATAGCGTGTAGTGAACGACGCGACGGCGCAATGACGATCACGACGAACCTGTTGTCAGTCCCCGCGGAGAGAAATGCCGCGACTCAATTTTTACGCACGACTTCTAGCTGGTGCCTAATGACCGATCTTTCTGCTCTGCGTATTGTTAACTGTGAGGCGTCTTAGCTGAACAACTTGTGGCAACCCCAGACCCTGACCCAGGCGCAATCGGATGATTGCTCACGGATCAGCAGCTAGTCGTGTTAGCGATCGGTTTTGACAGCCGTCCGTTACCCGCTCCCCGCTGGCACGGTGCAACATGACCAACACGATTTGGAGTAGCCTTTAGGTCGTGTGGAGTAGTTTGATAGTGCCAACCTTCAGACACGTATACGAGGCCTGTGATTTCGTGACATAACAGCATGCATAATTGCGCCCGGCAACATGAGTATTGCAAGCGAAAGAAGATTGGGCAAACCTAATTTTTCTTTTCTTGCGCGATCATCTTGCGGGCACTCAGATACGCAGCATCTCCCACATACATGGAAAGAGATGCGCAAATGCTGCTGTTCTAGACCATCAATCAGTCGATCTAAGCATAACCAGGATTTAATCCCTGGTACCGAACTACGAATTCATGCACGAGTAAGTAGTTCATCAGCACCTTGTCTTATCCGATACATGTAAAGGCCCGGCCAGAAAAAGCAAACGTCTATCGGAAAGGGCCCTGAAGGGACGGAAGAGTTACATCAGTATAGGAGAAGGCTCAGCTCTGGTACATATGTGTCAGGGCACAACACCATGATGTGCACCAAAAACATGGGGATGAACCAGTCTCCAATTAGCTGTCTGCATGGCGCAGGGGCCAGGCCTTGCGGGGGGGGGATCGCCTGCGGATAGTGTCCCGTCCCGTCGCGTGGGAGACCAAAGGAGGCCCCCGCAAACCTTATGCCAGCTAACATCTCAGTCGCCACCGGAAATACGACTGTAATATGCCTTTTAAAAGAGCATTTTCCCTATAAGACTTGGGGGGTGCTGGGTTCGTTCTACTATCTGGCATCGTTCCACGACCAACAACCACTCGACATCATGGGTCTTCCGCTTCCTCAACAACTAAGAATACCATGCGCCTTCCTAGGTGCGCTGGGTATCGTCACTTTTGCGCTTCGCTGCTTCGTTCGTTTGCGTATCGTTAAAGCCTGGGGTCCTGATGATACGTTTATCACTCTTGGGTTTGTATGTTAACCCAGCTTGACATCCCTTGCCACTTCGTCATCATACTTACAATCTGCTAGATTATGCACATGTGGTACACCGGGACTTTGTTGACAGGCATTCACTATGGAACAGGTCAGCGGACCTCGGAGATATCTGTAACGGACTCAGTACATGCTATGCGTGTAGGTTTACAATCGTCCTGAAAACAAGTAGTGTCTGACTCTCCATCTAGTGTTGGTGGCTATGCTTCCTAGCATACGCATGTTCAATCACCCTGGCCAAAATATCCGCTGGTTTCTTCTTCCTTAGGGCCACAGGCAGCAAGCCAGTTTTCCGTATCACGACCTACGTTATCACGATACTCGCCGCAGTGGTCGGCTTCGGCTTCTTCTTCCTCAGTGTTTTCCAGTGCCTACCAGTCAGCTTTTTCTGGACCCGCTTACATGGAGATACTAATGGCAAATGCCTGGACATCGAAATCATGATAATAGCCACATACTTTTACGGAGCTGTCACTGCAGGAACAGACATAGCTTGGGGCATCCTGGTCGGAGCACTCATCTGGAAATTGCAAATTGACCGCCGCACAAAGATTTTGACAGCACCATTCCTAGGCCTGGCATGCATGTAAGTCAAAAAAATATTCTTTGTAAAAGCCCAGTAGATTGACAAGAAAAACAGTGCAAGTTACGCTGCCCTTGTGCGAATGCCCTACGTTGCCAACTTTAGAAAACCAGACTTCCTCTGTAAGCACACCCCCCAAAACTACACATTCTATCCAATCCTAACCACTTCCACCTCCTACAGACGCAACTGTCGAAATCTCCATGTGGTCCACAATCGAAGTGGGCGTCTCCATCTGCGCCGCCAACCTCGCCACCATCCGTCCCCTAATCCACCACTTTACCCACAAAGGCGAGTCCTGGGAATCGCGCCAGAACAGGCCGGGACACGCTGAATTAGCAACCATACCAGATGATCAGGAACTTGCTACACTGAAAATACCACCACCAAAGACTGCAGAGAGCTCGATTTCCTCCACGGATCCGAAGGGCAATAATGGCGAGAGTGGAATTACGAGGAGCGTGTCGAATTGGAGTAGGTGGACGAGGAAAGATAGTGCGGCGAACGTGGATATCCATGTTCCATGACGCCCGTATCTCGGTTAATGAATAAGGCATAAATCATTTCCAAACTTCGTACAATATAGTATTTCAGGTGGCCCTTTCAAACAGAAAGTTGTTTTGCCCCTTTATTGATCCGCGGCCTTGTTTGAATCCTCGCCATCCCCTTTCTACTCGTCTTTGCATAATGGCACATAGCTGATCCAAGCAAGCGCCCTTGTCGCGCCTCCATACAGTTTATTTCCTAGATCACAATAGGCACGCGTCTTAGCTTTTGGCACTCGCTTCCGCGCTAGCTCCAGCGCTTTATCGTGTGTTTGGTCTGTGGGAGCGATAGCGTCGACGATTTTATCTGCAAGGACCTTTCGGGCCGTCCAGCGGTGGGCCTGGGGTAGTAGCGTTTTGTGGGTAATGTTGGGCTGCAGCTTAGCGCGGAGTGAAGTTCTTATGCTTTGAGAGTGCATGCCGAGATTTATCGGCTTCTTGCTATTGAGTCCATATATATTAGGGTCTGGTACCAAATATTCCACGAGGATGCTATTAACTCATCATGCAGCTTTCCAGAGTAAGCCTAAGGTCACTGAAGGTAGGGAGAGGACCCGATCTAGTGGGGACTAGATCTACTTCTTGAAAGTGATTAAGGAGAAAAACACAGCTAGGCTTACATGAGTAATCATATCATCATTGTCCTAAAATGCTGAGCTGGTATTAAAGTTTATACCTCTTCTTCCCCAGCCTGATCTTCTTAAACCCTCTCCACGGAATCCCCAACATCTGCCTCTTCAACCCCCCCCCCCCCCTCCCCAATCAACTCCGCCATCAGACTCAGATCAACCTGCCGCTTCATCACTAACACAAGAGGCTTCTTCGTCTCAAGCAAGACCGAACCCACCAGATGCTCTTCCAAAATATCATCAACATGAGCAACTACTCGCTCCCTTAATTTCTCATCCCCGCCTTCACCGCAATCCTCCAAGATCTTATCGACAAACCCCACGCCAAAAGGTCATCTGCCAAATCTTTCGACTCTTAAGCAGCGCCCCCATCGCCTTACTCACCCCCATACGCCTCACAAATCCTACTAAAGCGCCGCCTTCGTCGATAAGCCCGAGGCTCGTAAAAAAGGGGGTGAGAAGGTAAGTGTGTGGTGCGCAAAAGACGAAATCAACAAACGAGATTAGGGCCGCTGCAATGCCTACACCAGGGCCATCCAGAGCCGTCACTAGAATCTTCGAATGGGCGTAAAATGCTTCGGTGGAGTTGAGGGTGTGCGCTACCGTTTCCCTGAGGGAATCCCGCCAGATATCTGCGCCGGGTTGAGATGTCTATTCCACTGGGCGATTGAGTTAGCGGTGATATGTGGAGGAAGAGATTGTATATACTTACGCGCTGAAGAATCTTCTCGTTCCTGTGAGGATGGTAATGAAGACTTCATCGTGTGTGTCTATTTCTCTCAGGCGCTTGGTTAGAGGTAGAACTCTTTTTTTTTGTTACAGCTCCGAGCTTTTGGGGGCGGTTGATGGTGAGAATTGCGGTTCTACCTGGGTATTCTACTGTGATATATGATTCTCATGCTTCAGGCGGATCAGTCAGGAGGACTTTTAGAGCTTCTTTTTTTCAATCATTACTGATGTTATTTTTTGATCTAAGTTGTAGAAGAAGCAACCATTTCTGGTCAAACATGTCAAGAAATCAAAGACTGGCAATATCACCTGCGACCAACTTGTTCTTATGGTTACATAATTGACACCGGAATTTTAGTTATTTGGGATTTTCCCTTCGGTGTCCAGGTAAGTAATGTAGTCATAACTTTGGTCGGGCAGATCCCACACTCAAACATTGACATCACCAGCCTACCAACCATCCTCCCCTAAGGAATGTTGGCCCAGGACCTTGACCGAATCTTTTCTTGTATGGACGTCTCAAAGCTTCAGCCGCTGCATTTTTGTCATCATTATTGGATTCCGTTTCTCAGCAATTCCCTCACTCTGAACGAATTGTTCCCTGTGAAATAGTAATAATATTTTTTTCAACATTTTCTAAGACAAGCTTATTTACTCTTCCAATGCCAAGACGAAAATCATACCTTTTATAGACGTTTTCTCCTTGGAAATATTGGAGTACAAAGCATTCACAACATCTATCATAACAACCGTACGAGCACTAAGAGTACTGCTGTCCAGCAATAGGCTGAGAAACCTCAAGACTCGAGAGACCGCAATGCGGCGTAGGAAAATACTGCTGATCACCCTGCAACATGAAAGCACCCCACTTGAGTTCCTTCTCCCAGGGCGCAACTTCATACGGCCTTGCATAACAAGATGCAGCAATCGCAGCGCTACAAGATCCCACCAGGGGAGCAGGACTCAATTTCTTCCTACCCAAGATAAACATACCAATCGCCAAAACGAGAGCGACGACTATCGAAAGCAAGATACCGAGTGGCGAAAACGATAGAGAAATAAAGTCCTCTCCACAGCTATCACTGTAGGTATTGCCATTGGGTAAAAGGAACTCCGGGTCCCAATGCTGGCATCCCCCAAGCGCATTATGTACACCGTGCATATTGTACAACTCTACCGAGACCACGAACAAGCTTTGCGACGCCAGCCAGTGCAGCAGCGTCGAGAACCCCAGCAGCGGCAATGCATAACGATACGGAAGCTGCAGGAAATACGTGCTGCGCTGGTGTCCGCGGCGAGTCGTCGAAACGCGGAGTGGCTTGTACCGAGTAAAGAACGAGGACCACTCGTCTCCAAGCAGCATCGACGTGATGGCGGCGTTGTAAGAGAAGTAAATGAGGGATATGATTACTTGAGGAGAGTTTGCTACAAAGACATTTGAGAAGACGCCAAGGAGGCCGGACGAGGCAGTGCCGTTTTGCACGATGGTGCGTGGATCGACGTTGCCAAGACCGATGCCGAGGATACTGCTGAGGCTGTTGTCGCCGTTGATTGAGATGTAGGCGTAGGCGAAGAGGAAGATCAGGACGCAGATGCCCATGAATAGGCTGTGGTGGGGAGTTAGCGGGGGGAAGTATGTTAAGGGGGATAAGTAGATGCTTACGCGATACGAACGGTCCATCGCTTTCCCCTCTTGACTGCTGAAGACCATCTGCTAGAGTTCATTGTAAATGTCCTCGGTTGCTGCTTTGCTGGCCACTTTTTTCTCGCGGTACGGATATCTTGCTGGGACACGAGGCACATGTTGTGGGCTATCGTGTCCGGCTCGCGAAGAAACGATGCCACTGCATCTCCAACCGTCAACATGGGGTCGTTGCGAAGAGCGAAGAGACCGACTGAAATGGTACATATCTTCACCACATTGAACGCAATGACTATCGCCATGAGATGAACACTAAAACTCATCTTGCATGTTGGGCCTGTGGGCTCGCTGAGGCAACTTCGCACTGGGTGGCCAGCAAACGGTGCCCATATCGATGGATTCTCCTTGAGTCGAGGCAAGAAGCGAGGGGCTTGCTGCTCGAAGCAATAGCCAGCTTCACCTTGAAATTGTCTGTAGATCCATGACGTGCCTGTGTCAGTCGAGCAAGTACCGGTGCGTTCAATGTAGTTGAATGCGCCGTAAATCTCGCCGGCTCCCATGACACCTTCGTCAACGACAAGGAAGATGTTGCCTCTTGCTGATTGGAAATTAACACTGTAAGCATCGATGCATTCGCGGAGCGTGAGGTTCTGAAGCCGTCCTGATTTGAAAGCTTCTGAGTAGAGTTGACCGTTTACATACGGGTTGCTGGTATAACCACCCGTATAAGTACTGTTCATTGTGCCATTGAAAGTCCCGTTTTCTATCGCGGCCTTTGCCTCAGGGCCAAATTCAATGACGCCGTATGTCTGGGCTGAGGTGGACATGAAGACTACCGAGTTGTAGCTATTGAGCGTTAGTGTGCTTGTTGACGAGTTTGATCATCAATACTGCATACCAGAGATGCAAGGGAAACGAAGACAGTCCCAGAACCCACCAGCAAATCTTCTTGCGCGTTCCAAAACTAGACGACATTATGTTTCTCATGCTAGGTATACCGACGTCGAGCCAGTTTCCTTTATGATGTGCGTCTTCGACTTCAGATCGGGTGGGAGCTGAAAGACATTGCATGCAATAATTACTCGCACCTAGAATCGCGGTGCTTAAAATATTGATGAGCAAATGTACACCAATGTTAACCTTCTTGGTGTAATCGCAGGTTGCTTCGTAGAGTATGCCAACACCGTTTGTCGCACCTTTTGTACGCAGTGCCCAAACTAGGAAGCCGGTGTTGATGCAGAGGACTGCAATTCCTAGTAGTACAAACATATACAAGCTCTTTCGCCATTTCTGTGTTTCTTTTCGCACCTGAATCGTCCCGTTGACGTTGTTTCCGTCGTGTGTCAGGAAAGGCTGCAAATGCGCCTCTGGTCGCTTCGACATATGCGCTTGGTACATGGTAGCATCATAGAAGAAGCTTGAGGTGGGATGAAATGCAGTATAAAAATGTGGGGGGGGGGAGGGCGGAATTCTACGCGCCATAGCAAGATATATGCAATGCCACGATGCATGGAGGCTTGAAGCTTTTCCAGCCTCGCGCCATGGCGTGCGGCTGATGGTCAGGGGTGCTCATGATGCCAACAAGTAATTGGGCGCCAGCTAACGCCACAAGGGCACTGCTCGCTTCTAACTGGCCGCTCTCTATTGGGAAGATACAGCTAATGCAGGCTGCAACAATACACGCTTCAGTGATTAATTGCTAATAGATCAAAGCGACGACCTTTTCACAGCCGCACTGAACTACATGACACGTGCCTACACCGCCTTTGGTGAGTATTTGCCGCCCGTACCTTGCAGTTATAGATGCACGTGAGGGTCTGGAAAAAATGATTGCAACGATTTGCAGCCAAGCCGTGGAAATGCTTGATATCAAAAGACAAAAGCTTCGTTTTACTAGTTGGAAAACGACTTTATAGGACCACATAACAAGATAGGTCATGTACACATATCACGCTTGAATCTTTATCAATTCAAATTTATACTACAAAACTAAAAGCAGCTGATTGTTTAGTAATTCTTCAACCTCCGCTAGCTTAATCAAAAACATCCGTCGCAAATCTCTCATTGCGCAGCCCCTCGAACCACTCCTTAGCCTTTGCATCATCCACCTCTCTGTTTTCCTTCTTTCCAATCGTCTCCTTTGCAATCTTGATCAGCGTCTCCTGCACTCCATCACCAACACCACGAGATCCGCATACGAATACCTTGGCACCGGCATTGAAGAGTTCGACAACATTTGCGCGATCGTGATAGATGCGGTCCTGGACGTACTTGCATCCATGTGTCTCTTCAGGCTGCCGCGAGTAGGCGAGGCGAAGAGAGACTGCGCCCATGGCTTCCCAGCGCTTGAGCAAGTCGCCGTAAATTAGGTCAATTGAGGGTGAGCGGCAACCGTAAAACAGAATTGCAGGTGCCAGCTTGCGGCCTGCTGCTGCTTGAGCGGCACGTTCCTGGATGAAACCCCGGAAGGGCGCCAGACCCGTTCCAGCGGCGATCATGATGACGGGAACATGCTGCGAGTCTTTGGGAAGATGGAAAGCTTGATGCGAAGAGCGTACGTTGACATGGAGTTTGTCACCTGGCACAAGGTTGGCGAGGTAGTTTGTTGCTACACCCACATACCGTCCGTGTCCGCTAAGGGCTGGCTGGTCGACCACTGAGTAAGTCAATGTGACGTGATTCGGGTTCCATAGAGGCGAAGACGAAATGGAGTATTGTCGAACACGCATAGGTGGTAGCATCTTGAGGAAGATACCGAGGGGCAGCTTCGTGGATGGGAAGCGCTCCAGGAGATCTAGCACCGAAACTCGCTTCGCGGTAATCTCTGAGCTAAAGGCTTCGTCTGCAAGACGAGTGAGCTCCTTCTTCTCGGCCTCGTCCCGGGTGCTTTCGATGAGGGCTTGGACATTGCGTTTGCTGGCAGGTTGTGCAAGTTCAACATATGCCCCGAAAACATCGGTAGCGCTGATGGGGGTATCGGTCGGGAGGATAGTTGGACCAGCGGAATTGATTGTCAGCATTGAGTCCCAAGTGAGACCAAAGTATCTCATTGCGCGATGGATGTTCTCCTTGGGGTTGAGAGGTAAGACGGCTAGGTAATCGCCTGCAGAGTATGTCATATCAGACGGCAGGCTGATCTCAATGTGCCTTTTCTCTGTGGCATCAGAGCTGGAAAGAACCTCAACCTCCTCAACACGAGCCTCACGAACATCTTGGCGGAGCGTAGACGATCTTGGGGCAGTGACCTCGACATCGAGTGTCGTCTCCAAGGAGCTTTCGGCATCCGCCTCTGTAGAACCATACTTTTCGCGCAAGGCAGGCCACAAAACTTGATCCTCCCATGTCTCGAAATCAGTGAAGATGTCGCCAGCTGCGACGTCAGTGCTACCC